GGGAGGGGAGGAAAATAGTGGGGTGGTCACAGTCACCCCAGATTCTAAGTGATTTGCTTGACCCAGTGTCATGAAAGCAGACATCCAGGTCACCTGGAAGCTGATGGCTTGAGATCCTTCGGCAGGTGAATGGATAAATAAGCCATGGTGCATTCCGATGGCCCAATATTATTCAGTGCTGAAAGAAATGCATTATCAAGCCACAAAAGACATGGAGGAAACCTAAATGCATGTTGCCAAGTGACAGGAGCCAATCTAAGAAGAAAATAGACTAATTCCAGCTGTATGACATTTGGGAAAGGTAGAACTATGGAGACCTTAGGATGGGGAAGCACAGAGAATTTTCAGGGTAGGGAAGTTTCATCATGGTCCTGTGATCCTTTAACATGGGCACCTGCTATCACAAAGTTGTCAAGACCCCCTAGGACACAACACCAAGAGTGAAGCTCAGTGTAAAGTGTGAGCTGTGGTTGATAATGGTGTATCAATGAAAATTTGTTAGTTCTAACAAATGTACCACTCTTGGTGGGGCTGTTGATAATGGTGAAGGTTGTGTGTGTTGTGGGGTGGTGGTGATGGTGAAAAAGTATGTGGGAAATCTGTGTACCTTTTGCTCAATTTGTTATGAACCTAAAACTCCTCCGATAATGGAATCTATTGGAGAAAATGTATTGGTTTAAAATAATAATTTTAATTATGTTGGAGGCTAGAAATTAGAAACTGGGAAGTGCTTAGTTGGGAGCTTCTGGCTCAAAGTCTCCCATACGCTTTCAGTCAAGATGTGGATAGGCTGCAGTTGTCTGAAGACTTGAGGGGGACTGGAGGATCTACTCCAAAGCAGCCATTTGTATGGGTGCAAAATCAGTACTGGCTGGTGTGCTGGCCTCAATGCCTTACTATGGGACCTCACTAAATGGCTGCTTGGTGACCTCACAACATGTGATCCAAGAAGGCAGTTGGAAGCTCCAGCATCTTCCATGGGCTACCCTTTGAGGTCACACACTATCTTCTCCACAATGTCCTGTTGGCTACACAGGTCAGCCTGTGTGTGTGGCGGGGGGAACTACACAAGGGCACAAGAACCAAGGACTCTTGGAGGCCATCTTGATACCACAGTGGGTTTCTGATGCGTGAACCAACAACACATTCCATGCAAGATTTGACTAAAGAGTTTCATCCTCCCACAGACAGAATATTACATTTCAAAGTAAAATGAAACCCAGGAGTAATACTTACAAAATCAGGCTGTGCCATCTGCACCTCTAGGGGAATGGGGATGGCCGGCTTGGTGATATGCAGGTAGTGGTAGGACCCAGGAAGAATGCCTCCTGGAGGAGAGGGCAAGTTTTCTACATTTACAATGAGTTGTGGAGTTGAGGAACAGAATTTACATTTCACCACAGGGCAAATAGGGATGTCTACAATGCATGTACCCGTCAAACTTTCCCACTACAGTATTGCTAATTGCCAGGAGCTCTCTGGGGTGGCTGTACTTTATATAATCAAATCAATGTGCAGGTGACACTATACCCCATAATAGAGCCACCCATGCCCCAAGATGTGCCAAGTTAACCTTATGAATCCTGGGATTTTCCATAGCTCCCAATACTGAACCTACACCCTCAAAACCAGATCGAGTCCTCCAGAGGCCTTAGGCGTGTTGTGCTGTGCTCCCATTGCCCTCATGTCTCCAATATGTGGCCAAAATATTAAAAATTGAACTTTATAAGGAAAATCAACAAAGGTCTTTGCTCAGTGCTTTAGAAAACTATCGCTATCAAATCCTAAATATTTCTGGGCTGTCTCCAAGCCTGCTCCTGATCTCTGGCAGCCCTCCATTCTGCTGCTTGCCTAGGGTCACTGGTTTTCCTGAGGGCTCAGTGGAGTGAGAAGGTGAGTGAGAGCTCCCTGTGCCCATTGCTTTAGGTGAGGAAGACTGAGGACTGAACTGGAGGACTTTTGTATCTTTCCTCTGAGGTTCTCTTTACTGGGTTAGGGCCTATGGATGGCTAGAGGGGCTGGTCCATGCCCCCTTGGAAATAAACATACAATTGTGTAAAAATGTGTAGTTTTCTGGCCAGAGCATTCATAATATTCAAAGACACCATTTTTGAAGATCAAGGAATCCTGCCGTTCCTATCACAATATCTCCTTGGGAGTCAACAAGGCTTAGGGGGTAAAAGTAGACTGTTTTATAGCTGAAAATGATGGCGCATTCATCTATTGAGATAGCAGTATAAGCCTGGGCTGCTGGAGAATGGGGGTTCTGGGTAAGATGTCAGAGAAATCACCACCCACTCACTTTAAGCCTTCCAGGCAAGGTCCAGGTCTTTCTCTATTTTTTATGTGTAAATAGAGCCACAGTCAGGATGTAGCTGATAAAAAAAACTCAAGATACAAAGGGCCCTAATAGCAATAATGCCAGGTTCCTAATGAATGCCTGAGAAGTGAGATGTGCCCCTCCTCTATCCCTGTGGTGACCCCGTGGGGGACTATGGAGTTCGAATCATGGTGGCAACCCTGGGTGCTGGCCAGACCCAGGGTGTGGCCTCGCGGAGGGAGAAAGTGGTTGCTCACACCTTGGATCTTGGCTCCTTTGTACATGGGAATGAGGCGGTCCAGGTCGGCTGGTGGCTGCATCACAGGTTCAAGGGTTGGATCAAAGAGAGTGAGCATAGCAGCTGCCAGTTGAAAGCCCACTTCTTTGGAACTGAAGTTTCTGTGAGTCCAGTCATTTGAGTAGTATCTGTTGGAGAACTTTGTGAGGGGGCCGGCAGCTCTGATGGCGACATCGTTGGTGTGGAAGTTAGTGTCAATCACAAGGCGGCCATCATAGACAAGACAAGCATCATTCAGTGCTTTGAACGTTTCGTAGTCCACATTCTTCTCACAGAAGCTGAAGAACATCTACAAAGGGAATAATCATAGCATGACTGTGATTGTTCTTCATTTACCTTCCCAAGAGCAGGAATCGTCTCCAGAGTTATTTAGAAGTAATCATTAATTAGTTAATAAATAATTATAAATTACTTATTATTTAGTAGATTAAAAAATCTACTAAAAGTTTGTCATAATTCTGTGGCACATGTGTATGTGAGGAAAATCCAGAGTCAACCCCATATTTAATGTGAAAGTCTGGAAGTTCCCTCCTGAGTTATGGAACATAGCATGGATGTCTATTTCTTCTACTTTAATATTGCACCTGGGGTCCTAGACAGTAAAATTAGGCAACTACGGGAAATAAGAGGTCTCACTATCAGGTAAGACATATAACTGCCCCATTTGCATGTAGTTTATGGATCTAGAAAGCAACTACCAGAATGAAGAAATGCATTTAGCAAAGACTTAGACTGCTATGTTTATATACAAAATCAATTGCCTTTTGTATACTATCAGGGACTGACTGGGAATTAAACAATCCATTTATAATAGCTCGGACTTTCACAAAAGAAGGTATATCAGTGGCCCATAAGTATGTGAGAAGATGCCTAGCACCATAAGCCACATTAAGAAAGCACAAATTAAAAACATTATGATATACCATATCACACATAGGAGAAAGGCTGAAATTAGAAAGACTGGCAATATTAATTGTCAGCTAGAACAAGGAGCCCCTGGAACACTCAATACATTGCCAGTGGAAATGTAAAAGACTACAGCTAATCTGGAGAGTAGTAGTACCTTTTTGTTTTGTTTTGTTTTTTGGTACCAGGGATTGAACTCAGGTCCTTGTGCTTGCAAGGCAGGTGGCCAGTAGTACCTATTTTTTTTTTCTCATTGAGTTTATTGGTACATTTTAGGTATACAGTACAGTTACATTCATCATTGGGATCTTGTACCTTTACATGACAGGCCTTGGTTCTCACTTTTTCCGCTTACCCCTGCCCTCCCTTCACCCCTTCCTCCCTTACCTATTTACAAATACTTTATTTCCATTTTTTCATTTTCTCATATTTTTTCTTTTCCCTTATTTCCTTTCCCCTACCCTTCCCACTTCCCCTATGCCTTTAGCCCTTTTCTTCCTATTTCACATTGCAATTATACCATTAGGATCTTATGTACAATTACAGTTTTTCACACCAGAAAAACTATTTGGTATTTACACATCTGTGACTTATTTATTTCACTTAAGAGTATATCCAAACATTCGCCTACCATATGACCTAGCCACTCTTTGAGAATATAGCTAAGAGAAAAGAAAATGTGTTTACTCAAAAACAGGTAAAAGAATATGCATAGCAAGCAAGTGAATAAATAAAATGTGATATAGCCACACAGTAAGATACTACTCAGCAGTGAAAAGGAATGAACTATTGACACATGGAATTGTATGAAATCTCAAAAATCACTATGTGAGTAAAAGAAGCCAAATGAAAAAACAAGGTACAGTGTGTGATACTGTTTACAAAAACTGCCATTAGCAGTTACATACACCATCCTTTTGGGTATCTTGTGGCTAATATAGCAAAGTGCCACACAATGGAAAGCCCCGAACCACAGAAACACATTCTCTCACAATTCTGGAGACTGGAAGTTGGAATCAAGGTGTGGTCAGGATCATGCTCCCTACAAAGGCTCCTGGGAAGGAGCTAGACCCTCACTGGCTCTAGTGGTGGCTGGCAATCCTTGCCCTTTGGTGTCTTATAGCTGCCATTACTCTAATCTCTGCCTCTGGCATAGCATGGCTGCTTCCTTGTGTCAAGAGATCTCTCTCTAGAGAAGGACACCAGTTACTGGATGGAGAGCACACCCTGATCCAAGATGGCCTTCTCCTTACTTGATCACATCTGCAAAGACCCTACTTCCATCTGAGCCACATTCACTAGTACTGAGGGTTTCTGGGAAACATGGTGTGGGGGGCCCCTGACATCATCATCACTATCAAGAGGCAAATTCATGCCCACTAAAGGCCGCCCGACACATGACAGCTGCTGCTCAAAGCAGACAGTGAGGGTGGCTGATATCCCGATCTTTCCCCTTTCATCCTTATCTCTCTCAAGTACCAAGCGCTGGACAAAGAAAGATGGAAATCAGGGAGTCAAGTGATTGCCTGGGACAATCATCTGCAGAGACCATTCTCTGAGATGCACAGTACGACGGGGAGAAACGATCCGACAGCACAGATCAACTTCCCACCCACAACTCACCCACACTGCTGTAGGATGAAGGTATCTCTTGGGTCGGGGCAATTAAGAGTATTTGCAAGATTTTTTTTTGCCATAATTCTGAAAGTAATCTGAACATAGAAGCAAAGGTTTGGGGCAGAGGATCTGTGGGATTTTAAGATGTTTTCTTATGCTTCTGCTTCCTTCAAAGGATATACACTCCCCTCCAGAGGTTCCCTGGGATGAACCTGGCAAGTTTCCAGTATGATCATTTTGGAGGGGAAAATTGGGGAAAGAGGATTTTGATTTTTCCTATCTTAAATAGGTATTACAATGACACACATATGTAGAGAACATCATTTTTAAAATGAATGAATGAAGTTTTCTGTCTTTTCTCAGCTATATCCATCACACCTATGACAGAGCCTGAGATGTAGAAGCCAATGTACTAAAGAGTAGAATATAAATTTCCCATGGTGCTCAGGTAGCACTAGGCCCAGGAAAGGGCGGGTCCCCAGGGATGGCGGCCCTTCTCCTACCTCTGACCTCCTTCCATGTGAAGAAGCAAAGGCTAATTTCCTTCCCAGTGAACATGGATGCCACATGACTCTCTTGTCTCCTCTGTCTCTGTCTCCCTCTCTCACTCCACCTGCCCTTAGAACTAAGCCCAGTGCCACAACGGGGCCATTTTATAATCTCAATTTAAGTTGATCTGCATCACAACCAGATGGAAGAGTGCATGTGCCTTCTGGAAGGTGCCCCCAACTCCTCCAACTGACTTCAGCTGCCCACGAGAGCTCTGGTGAGAACTGCCTGGTTGGGCCCAATCCAACCCTCACCTGGAGAGATAATAACAAGACTGCTGTTGTTTTGCAGTCCTGAGTTGGGAGTAGCTTGCTGCCTCTCAGCAAGAGTCTCAGAGGTGTAAGGAACTCTGAATCTGAGACTCCCAACCCCAGAAGCTGGGTGGGTGGATGCAGGGACTCACGGTGCACTGAAGCTGGAAAGGCTTGGTGGGCGTGGTGAAGCTGGCACAGTGGATGGGGTCGGGGTTCAGGCCCTGGTTCCACTGGGCCAGGATGGCATCCCGAAAGGTGGTGACACCGGCCGCCCCCAGTGCCTCCTCCACGGCGCTCTCCACCGAGTAGTTGTTGATGCAGGTGACTGTGGACTTGGGTGGGCTGTGCACGAGGTAGATGCAGGAGCCTCTCACACCCAAGTGTAAGAGTGTTTCCACGGTGGTGTAGGTGTCAATTGTGTTCCCATAGACAATGACATTCCCTGGAAAAGGAGGGAGGAAAAATGCTAAGACGCACAGTTAAAAAACCAACTTATTAGTCAAATGCTAATAATGCCGAATTGCTCCCTGTAACCCTCTCATTTTTCAGCTGCAGGAGCCCAGCAGTGTTACCTAGCAACTGTGACCAAGATAATTTAGTAAAGAATTGGCACAAAACATCCCACAAAGTAGTCAAGTACTTCTAACGCAGAAGTAGGACATTCATTTATGTTCCTATAATTTGAAAGTTGAAATTATGCTGAACAAAATGGCCTAGAATAAAACCTTTTATCTTGTCTTTGTTCCCTATTTGCCACACTTATTAAAGAAACAAAATTACTGAAGTTTGCCATACTTGCAAATTCTTCCTAAGAGATAAAAGGACAATGGCTAAAAAGAAATTTATGCACATCATGTTACTGATATTTTAATATATAAAGTCGAACTGGGTTAACTTCAAGGAAATCTTTCCTTTTTTTAGAACTAAGGACTAGGACATTTTGCTTTTCAAAAAGTAATTTTATAAAGATTCAAATTGTGAGTTTTAGAATGTAATATGTCCAGACCTCGCCAGAGGGACTGAAGGGTGTTATTTTGCTCAGGGAATATAAAATCATAAAATAATCTTTTGTTGTCCTTTTGAGACGTGGTCTTGCTATGTAATTCAGGCTGGCTTTGAATTTACCATACATCCCAGACTTGTGGCAATCCTTCTGCCTCAGCCTCCCAAGTGCTAAGATGTTAGGTGTATACCATCACACCCAGCTTAGCTAGACTTCTCTTGTGTAAGAGCATTTTGGTAGTAAGAGTGTATATTATTTATTTATCTTTTTCAAAAATATTACAATAATTACAAATGCTATTCTATTATTTCATCAGTTTTGAGATTAATGATGCTATAAGAAAAGTGTAGTACATGCTATTTTAACATTGGATCAGCGTTTTTACCTTTTCACAAAGGGAGGACTTGCTGTAGATGCATTTTCCAGGCATGCTGTAACAATTTTACCACATCACATCTCTATTTTTCACTGGTTTGTAAAAGAGCATGAAAAGGAATTTTACAAGGCAAAATAAATGGCACATGTATTGATTCAATTTGGTGGAATAAATTATGCAAAACTCAACTCTAATCCAAAGCTAAAAGGCAGTGCAATAGCTTGTCTTATTGGCTTAGGCAAAATAAGCTGGACTAACTTTCAGATGGCTTCTTGGAAGGTGACCATGTTGTGGAGGTGGCCTGTGCTCCTGCTCCTGATCTGGGGACACAAGGAGAGCACTGGTTGAGGGAGCAGAGTCCTCCCTTCCTGCCACACTAGGCTGCTGTGGTCTCCTCCCCATCGGAGCTGCAGGGAACATTCCTCAGCGAGCTGAGATTTTCTTGGCTGAAAGAGCCAACATTTTGCTTAAATTACTGAGGCTCCCACCTGCTGCAAACCATGAAGCTTGGCTGTCTGGCACAACAAAGAGCCAGCCTGCCAGGATAGCTAGCACCGGGCCCTCAAACTGTCAAAGGTTTGAGGTCTGCTGCTTTTTCATGATGCCTGCACCAAGACAGGATTCTTTCTCTTGAACAAATTGTGGGTCAGAACCCCCACACAACTCCATCTTAGTTGTCAGCAGCAATGCTAGGGACAGGTAATGTACTTTATAAAATCTCTAAATTTTAATTTAGAGGTTTATTGATAAATAATTTAACTTCTAAACACTCTTGGCTTTTGTGTAAGTCAGCTGGAAAGTGATGAAAGAGAAAATCAATCTCTAAGGGGGACTTACAGTGGCTCACAGTCTTGGATGTGTCAGTCCATGGTTGCTTGGCCCTGGTGACTTTGGATCCATGGGGAGATGATCCATCATGGTGGACAGTATGTGGGGGAAAAGTAAAAAAGAGAGGAGGGGCCCTAGTCCCATTCTCCACTTCAAGGACACTTGCCTGGAGACCTAACTTCCTCCCACCTGGCCTCAGCTCCTGAAGATTCCAGCACTTCTCAAAGTGCCACAGGTGGGGACCACACCTTTAGCATCAAGACTTAGAGAGATATTTAATGTAACAGCTATCTTTAATTTAAAGCAAAGTTCCTTAACAAAAATATGAGACTTTGTTCACCATAACAATTAGCTATTGACACAATAATGCTGGGTAACAAATAACCCAGATAACAAAATGTCAAACAACATTCAGCATATTATGGGTTAATGCACACATCCATGGAAAGGTGGTGTTAGCTGATCTGGCTCCACACTGGGCTGGGATCCGCACCAGTGTGTTTGTTTTCCTCGACTCAGGAGCAGGGAAGGGCAAGCACAACCACTTACACAATTTCAAATCTCTGCTTTTATCACATCCTCCAGCTCTTCATGCACCACAGCTACACCTATGGTCAAGGACACAGGGAAGGATACTCTGTCCACCCACTGTGTCTTTGAATATTTGCTGAAGAACAGTCCCCACTATCAATCATATATTAAATAATAGCCTACATAATTTCATCTGGAAATTTCCATTCAAGTATGCTCTGATTATTTACCTATATTTCTCTAATTAAAAAATCATAAAACACAGTAGAACCTTATTACAATAGTGGTCAGTTAGTGAATAAATCATAACCTATAGATCATATCATATCCCTTAACAAATACTGTAAGACATGGTAACAACCTGATGTAACAAAGTCAGTTTTTTCCTCTTTTCCAGTTCAATATCTTGCCTTTTAAAGGTTTCCTGTCTACTGGGCATTATTCCTTCTATTATCTTTCTGGAATTGCGAGTTCTTTAACACCATTTCTCATTTTTACTTTGAAAGGAATTTTTAGACTAAATTAGTGTTTATCTTGTGACTCTGATATGCCAAGCACAAATTCAGCATTTTAATGCACAATGCTTTATTACTATTATGATCAAAGCAGTAACATCTGGCACTATTAGCAATAGCATTAGCTTCACTCTAATGTACATAAATAAGTTTTTCATAAGGTGACATCAAAACTACAAGTATGGTAAAAAAATTATAGAATAATCAGTCTTATTTGGGGAGGGTCCTCCAAAAAAAAATCAGTAGACAAAATCTTGGATTATTCATTTTGGGACAAATCAACCCAGGCATAAAAAATACGGTTATTTGCATTTATTAGGGTAGTTGTCCTAGCATATATGGGTTGAAACTTGGGCTCTCAAAGCCCAGTGACAAGGTCTTACCATGCTTGGGCTCCAGCAGATGGTCCAGCCTCCAGCCTGCTGAGGCCCCACAGGCCTGGGTGGTGTCCATCTTTCTGTCTGCTATACCATGAAGACAGTTTGTCCTGCCAAAACTCTGTCTAGGCTTAATTCATCACCAGGCAGTTCTGGGAGTTGGAGCCTTGTGGGAGGTGCTTGGATGATGGAGGCAAGGCACTCAGAGCAGGCCCGTGCTTTTCTCATGGGAAAGAGTACCCACGACCAGGGCCTGCACCTTTTGTCTTCCTTCCACAGTCACCCATTTGCCCTGCAACTTTCTGTTATCACTTGGAGCAGTGTAAGACCCTTAGTGGATGTGGCACAGTCAATACTGGGCTTCCCAGCTTCCAGAACTGAGTCAAAATAAATTCTCTTCCGAGGTTACCCAGTCTCGAGTACTCTGTTATAGAACCAGAGAGCAGACTTGGACATCTTCCCAGTGCTCACCACAGCCTGCATCCCTGGGCTTCTCTGTCCATCCTTCCCACATGTCACTTTGGAGATTCCCACGGTGGCTGGCACTGTCACTGTGGATGTGACAGAACGCTTCCTGACCGGACACGTGGATGAATGCTTGGCATTTATCAGACTGCTGCTCTTAATGTTTTTCCCTTGCTAAGGACCGATCTTTTGTGCCCTCTAAATATCTGGCACAAAATGACCTCACTGTTGCCAGATTTTCCTGCTACCTCATTTTACTTGTATTCACTATTAAGTTGGCAGTATAAGAAATATCCAGTCGCCAGATGGGCTGTACACCTGGGTTGTAAGATAGAAACATGTTCCCTTAACAGCATTAGGTCTGGTTTTTAGGTTTTCAGTTTAGCTCACAAAATCCTTCATAATCCCAAATGTAACCAAATTGTGTGTGCCTACAACAGATTGTAGGTATAAAATAATACTCCTACCATATTGGTGGCATTTAAACTCAGGGAAACAAGAAATTACACCTTTAATATGCATTTAAGGAAAGGTAGATGTCAAGCAGATTGAAGGACAAACTGTAGAAATTGTTAGACTTTTTAGAGGTTGATGGCACTGGGTCTCTTTAAAATACAGATTTGATTCTGGGTCACGGGGCTTTCTTATATTTTACATGGAGGTTGGCAGTTATATGAGTATTGCGCCACAATGGTGAGGTTCCAACAAAGATGGAAGGGAACAGAGAAAGAAAGGTAGACAGAGAAAGAGAACAGAGAGAGCCTCAGAGAAATAGACTTTCTTTACTTCTAGAATAAGAATGAAACAGTAGGGGACAGAAAGTGGCTGCTGAAAGTGCAGGTGGAACAAA